AAAAAAAGGAAGTAAGGCATGATTGAGGTTTTTTCTAATCTTGTGAAAAGTCATTGTTATCCACTACTATGTTTTTCTCTAAAGTTTATAAAGCATCGACCATATCAAGATGTTTTTCATCGGATGAATCAGGATTTATTTAAACCTAGATAAATTCAAAACAACTGTTATACTTTCTTAACTATCTGTTCTTACAATTATCTTATGAAATAGAATTGTTAATAAGTATTGAAGAATGTATCAAGAAACGTAAAAAACTTCCGTTTCGACATGTTCTACAAACTATGACGATACAATTAGATGTCTGTGACGGGGTCAAGAAACTTCTATAGTTTTATAGCTTCTCACAGATGTTTCTCTCTTGATGTCTAGCAAGCCATTTAAAGAGACAAAAGAATACTATAGTGGTGAAAGATTTTCTATTATTGTTTGGATTGACTTCTCTGTGTTCTACATTTTAATCGCAGGGATTGTTCTGAAAGATTCTGTTTCAAACAAAGCTGGAAACAATAGTTCAATAGAACTTAAACATACTCGTAACAGGCAGCTCCATAGCGACAGTTCGGCTTTGATGAATGTCCATGACTGCTGCCACAAATTGAATGATGACTTGAATCGATTGGATGCGCATATTTATTAAGATGATCAGCGTCCACCCTTTAAGAAAGAACGCAAAATTATTTTCAAGATTTCATGAAAGAAATCTTTTTTCCATGTTGGCAAGATTTGGATCAATTTTTGTATTCTTAACGCTATCATGTTGCTGTTCATAGGATGAGCGTATGATTTGTTAAAACTACTTAGAAGAGTTCAAACCAAGCATTAAACCAGTTATCATTTGCGGCTAGCTGTCAGTGTCCGACATTTATTCTTTATGCAAATGAATAAAACAATTCTAGAAAGATACTTAACATACCGATAACAATCCGCGCCATAACGACATTCCTGCTTTTCAAGTGGACGACTCGAAGCGCCTCCTGGTACATGATAGTTCGAGTCACCTGGATGTGCAAAATTCTTGCGATGATCAGCATCATGGCTTCAAGAAATGAAACAAAGGATGATTAATGTTTCACAAAAACACTGTTTTTAAATACGAAACTTGTAACAATTTCGACCATATCTACATGGGCGACGTGATTCCGCTGTCAATAGAAGCAAAAAAGAATATGTAATTAAAATCATCATACTGCATGAGCATACAGTTCAATTTTTAAAACCTCTTCAGTTTTGTAGATTGCCTACGTTTTGTCAGTCACTAATCTATGTTATACAAGAGAAAGATGTGCAGATCTTCTTTGTTTTCGATTATAAAAAGTTCATTATCAACATTCTGAGAAATAATATTGAAAACTTTTCATATATTTCAAAATCGCAGTTCCCTCATTTTGTCGAAAACAGGACCAATTTTGCCCAAACTGCAAAATGACATGACTGATCCTTTATAAATTAACGTAACTATGCAAATGAGATTAGAAACTAAATAAATTCGTCAGTCAGAAGACCAAACAAGCTACTATTATCAGGTGTATACTCGGTAGAATGCCTATGTCAATTGACCATTAGAAAATTATCATTTTTGTCTTTTCCGACCGTAACATTGTAGTACAGAAAGTGTTTGACCAATATGCTTCCAATACTTACATAATGATCTTGCTGAAGATGAATCAGACGCGCGAACAAAATGACCTGGTTTGGCGAGTTTAGCTGAAAATACAAAGGAAAAAAAATGTTATTAAGATGAATTTTCTCTCGATAATCAAAATTGGTATACATAGAAGTTCATGATCAACATTCTCTTATGAAAATATATAGGACTCTATTGGATCTAGATGATCTAATCACTAGAATGTATAACGGCGTTTTTATTATTTCCAAATTTCCTTTTCATATATGTCCTCGTAAATGTTTTTCAAATAATTAGCGACAGAAAAAAAACAGAACCATTGAAAAGGATCTATAATTTTTCATAGCTCACAGCTTAAATTGATGACTACCTTGTGTAAACAGTATAAACAATGGATCAAAAACTTACTATAGAGTTGCATAGTGAAAACCAAGATATCATGGATAGTTCGCTGACTATACATTTTATATCAGCTCAGATTTCTAGTATACAATACAGTTGCTACTAACAGATGAGAGAATCTTTGAAGATCCTAAATTGTTTTTTACTGAGCCTACGTTCATTCGATCAGTTGGAGTAAGCATTTAAATAGTCTAGAACTATTTTTTTCTATCAGCTTTCGTCCTTGAGATATCACATTTTTACTCAAATCATGGTCTCTCAAGAATCACTTTGAAAATAGATGTTTGAATTTCTACCAATAAATTTCTAAGTAGGACTATGCTATGTTAGTATCAATTGATGGTATAGTGCGACACCAAATGGAGATTATGATGTCCTTCCTAATCTAATAGCTTAGAACATCTGTCTGAATAGCAGAATGTGTATGGTTCAAATCCCACGAAGCGCGTCTTTTCCTCTAATCTGTCCGTATATATGTCATAGGTAAAATTGAATTTTAAACAGAACTAAACTTAGGCAGATTTCGCTTTTAATTAGATGCAAAGATGCAAAGTTATTTTCTTTTATTTAAAAACAAACTCTAATTGTCATTTCTATTAACAAGACACAAAACGTACTTGTTATTTTTAAGTAGACAGACTCATCATTTTCATTATTCTTATTCTAATGTATACACGAATAACTTCTTATCAAATTCTGAGAGAAGACATCTGTTATTTCACTACAGGAAATACATACGCTAAAAAGTTCTTTATTATTTTTGATTGAAATCTAATTCATTAAAACTTAAAAAACATAGTATATTCATATTTTAGATATTATCTATCAGCCAGGTCAAATTCGAAGACAAATAATCATCGACAAAAAAATACTACTCATATAAACATAAGCTTAAAGATCTTTTCTTTGTCCTTTGCTTGAAACTTATTAAGAAAAACTAGATTTCAACTGAATACACTAGCAAACTCTAAAACTTCATACATGCAACTAAATTTCAATTAAAATTAAATATAACTTCATACGAATTTACGAGATCAGGTCGTTGTTCTCATCTTTTTCGATTTGTTTCTGTTTTTGAATCTTTTAAAACTTTAGTCTAATTTTACCTCAATATCAAATTTGCTTGACCCAGATGCATCGAACTGCGACCACAAACAATCACGGAATAGAGTTTTTAACATTAAGGTGATTTTGTCAAAAGAAAATCAATTTTCTGTACTTTTCGAGATTTATCCGGACTTTTAAAGTACAAACTCCACAATGCAGTTTCTTTAAATTTTAAAAGTAAATATTCAGAAAAAGTATTTTTTAGATTTTTGAAAATCTAAGTGGATTATATCTGATGGTGTTCATCATTTACCATCTGTACAGTTTCACTATTTCTTTTCAGCCCTAGTAATGACTTTGTACGAAAGTGTTCCAAAATTGCATGAATATAGTTGATGTGAAACTCAAATGCACATTACAAAACTTGCACCGTTTCGTGTTTCTTACCTAGCTGTTGGTGAATATCGTCGGGTACTCTCATACGACACACATCATCAACAGGACAGAAACTTTCATGTAGCGATTCGATAATATAATGTAGTGCTGGATGCCCTTTCATCTGCATGAGTGTTGCCTTAGCGCTCGAACGTTCTACAGGATCTTTCTTTAGCAAAAGTTCAATGATCAACTTGTAGCCACCCTTTTGTGGCACGACTACATCTCTGGCATCTCGATCATTACAAAAATTGTCATATTCAAATTGATCTTTCCACGGTAGCCGGTCGAAGAACAGAATATAGAACATGACACCGGCTGCCCATGCATCAGACTTTTTATGAAGATGCCGTGCCATGACATTGTTCTTATCACGTCGTAGAAATTCCGGTGAAGCAAAATATATAGTATGAGCTTTGGTTGCATCGACAGTTATCTGAGCGCGAGACGTATCCATCTTTTCAACTGTACTAAAATCAATTAGTTTGACGTAAAAGCGTTTATTATCTGGAACAATGACAAAATTTTGTGGCTTGATGTCACCATGAATAATGTTCAACTTTTCAAGGAAGGCTAATGCACGTAGGACGTACACGATCATGGTAATACCCAAAAAAAATTTATTTTCGGGCTCCATCTGTGCCACTTGGGTGAGCCAGAATGCCACCAGATCACAAACAGCTAATTCCATTGCAATATGAATGTTTTCTTTTGTGAATTGGCTACCATAATAGTTTATTACTGGATGATTGTCAAGTAATATCGTTTTTGTTAAACTTAAGAAACGAATTTCATTTTGAACTTCCTCTCGCATATCTGGCGTATTTTTCATGATTTTAATTGCTACAATACGATTATTATTGCCAGCTCGAGCCTTGTAGACCTGACCGAATCCACCTTTACTAATGAAGTCAAAGATCTCATATGTTACACCTTCGATTTCGATTTTTTCCATTTGATTTGGAGCATTTGCACCATTATTTATTAATTTCACATGTGCAAACATATTCTTGCCGACCTCATTGAGCACTGTATCAGGTTTCTTTTTATGTGCAGCGTGTTGTTTCGACAAATGTTCTGCTATTTCGACATTCTGTTGCATGAGTGATTCCGTTTGTTCTTGTTTTTGCTGAAATGAAAGTCTTGATCCATCAGCTCCCATGGTCTTTTTTGTAGGAAATTAATTGACCTAGCACAGAGGTTGGTGATAATTGCAAGGCGTACACAGACACACAATAAAAAGTCGAAGTAAAAATATATCTGAAATAGTATCGACATTCATAAAAAAAAAAGTGTTCTCTCATGACGCTGTATGTTGACCTCTAAAAATGTGCCATGTTGTTCGCAAACTGTTATTTTTCTTCCGTTCTTTTCTTTTTGAGTGAGAAGGAGTGTTGTTTATCGCCGACGACAGAAAGAATTCTGTAATACCGTGAGGTGTGGGAACGAGCAGTTGCTTTCTTTCCAACATGTGACTTAAAGAGAATGCTGTTGTTTTATTACTTATGTAGGAAGTAGACAACATGTTCGATTCTGATGATTTTCATGCATCCCTGTGAAGCAAAATAAAACAATATGTGTGTTATTCACTTCATTAAGTGTTTGCCAACTTTTATTAATGTTTCTGCTATAAACAACTCTCCTTCAATCAATTTTATTCTTGATTTTGGTTGAAGCAACGACCGCCAATAGTTTACAACTATTGTGCATATCTCACTTGGATTCAATAGATTGAGTATGACTTTTTCTTTACTACAAAATGCATCTTGTAATGTTCTATGACAACGATGTTATGATTTTATTTAAAAAAAGAGGAGTATATGAAATGATGAAATCGAGCGTTTGTTTTTTTTTTGAAAGTGTGATATTATTTCGCAAAGTAATTAGTGGATGTTTCCAAGGTAATGTTGTACAAGAGTGGTCGCTGCTTTTCGTGAAACTCTCTACCATTGATTGAAATACTTTGGGAACAAGCTTTTCGCTTGGAACTAAGATACGAATAAACCTAAAACACAAAAACTTTACTTTTTTGTTCGCACGTTTTTCTACACTTATCTTTCGAAAGTACTAACTAAAGTGATTTTCGTAATCATATTGCAATTTCTCTCGATGAAAAGTTTCTAATGGTACTAATATCTAAGCAACACGACATAAATACAAGAAGACGAATCGTGCGAAATATTGTTTTGGTGGATCTGATAGAGCAAAGTGCGCTCTAGAGATCTACGTATAACTTTGGCATCTTTTACTCAACCACAATAAAAAATTTACTTAGTACAATACTCCCTTGATTTAAGTGACAAAAATTACACAATATCACCGGTTTGGTCACAGCAACGGTACTGAGTATTAGTGCACATGAATGATATCATTTACGTGTTGTCTGTGGAGCAGACTAAATTCAAGAAGGATATAAGAGAAAATAGTTTTCCGTTTGATTATTTGAAATTCGCAAGTAAACGATTGTGAGCACTTCCACAACGAGTTATCCAACACTTTGCTATGAACAATTTGTGAGTGTTTCGAGACAGACACTTGTCCAAGAACAATCTGAATAGTATTGATTGTAGATGCACCCAAACAATTTTCATTCGACTCAATTAACCAAATCAAGACTCGGGCTATCTAACAAATGATTGCATTAAGAGCGAATTGTCTGTTTTTTTTGCAAAACATTCAAAAAGCTACCATGTTTGTTTCGAACGTTTCATTATGCACTTTTTCCTAGATTGTTCAATTAAACGGCAAAAATTCGAACACGAATGCATTGAAAGATTGAAAATTATTTTCTTTTCTGAGAAAGAGAGTGCTTTCGACAGAACGGATGACATGAATAATGAATTAATCATGATTAGATTCTCGCTCCATAGTCAGTAAGGCATCGCTGTGTGACTTGTAATTGAGTATCAGTTCTCTTTCAGTGATCGTAAAAAGAATATTTTTAGTTGGGTGTGGGTGTGGGTGTGGTGTGGATGTGGGTGTGGCTGGGTGTGGGTGTGGGTGGGTGTAGGTGTGGGTGTGGGCATGGGTGTGGGTGAAGGACTTATCCATGCTTACACCCATACCCACACCCACCCGCCACCCACACCCCACACCCACACCCACCACACCCACCCCACACCCTCACATTCTATTTTCTAAATATTTTACCTATTTAGAAAAACTCGAATGGAATCCAATCGGTCCTCTTCTTACGCTTTGAAAACAACGTAGTTTGTTGCTTACAGAAAATGAATCATCTACAGACCAGGAAAAAAGTGATTGATGTGTATGCCTTCTTTTATTTCTTTGTCACGAAAAGTCGCTGTTTTTTCATTGGGTATAATTGAAAATAACTACCTTGATTTACGCAGAACAAACGCAATAGGAAAATGGAGAATGACGCTACTATTTGTTGACTTGTCAGCAGTGGATTGTTTCAACTGCCAAGAAATAATCATCACAAAGTCAATATTGAGGAGAAGTGACGCTGAATCACTCAGAACGTCACGCAATAAAAAAAAAAAGATCTTTCCCTTAAAATCATCAAAAAAACCAAATGGAGAAATAATGATTGAGATTGTGGGTGTGATGGCGTAAGTTTTTTTTTCACCCATCTATACTCATATCTTCATCGACCAGACATATTCACCACTTCCCCAAACATCGATATCCAAACCCACACCCTTCTCAATAGTCAAGTGTATAACTAACGAAAAATCCATTATCACTCGATTTCTTTTGCAGGGATATGTCAATTTTACTTGATGATGATGTTGTGCAATTTATAAATTGTGTAATTTGCATATTTGATTGTGTATTTGTTTTATTGACAATAGTAATCGCCTGATTTAAAATTTGTTGAGAATTATTTACACAAGATATACTCCTTCTGATTGATTTAACAGTCAAATTTCCAACACTAGCTTTATCAAACATAAGGAAAGATTTAACGATAGGAAAAAATCTTGTTTTTCTTCTCTGTTTCTATTTCGAATACTAATCATATATGTATTATATATCTTATATTTATTGACTCTCATTTACTGTGATGAAACATATTCTTGCGAGATATTGTTGAATTTGTTGACTAATTTTGAAATAAAGATTTGACAAATATTTGCCGCAGATTCTCTTTGATCACAGTATAATTTGAATTCAATCGATTGTTTTTGAATTCTTATCGTCGTCCTCCTAAAGTCTTACTGGTATTTGAAGTACATGGATGTTTTGCATGAACTATCAGATATTGTTGAAAAAAAAACAAAAGAACTTCGCCAAATCTATATGATGTGAAAATGAGTTCAGTTTTGATAAATTCAACTCTAAAATATCAATTCAAAAATGTTTATATCCTTTTTAAGTGATAAAAGAAAATTTTATTGAAATTGTATTATCTTGCTATCTGACTGCATCCATGAAGTTTTACTTACAACTTTTCATAAATAAATGATCATATCAATTTTTCTATAATTGATTGTTAATAAATTCTCATTTTTACATATAATTATATCTAAGATCAAACAAATGTTATTTTTAAAATGTGATCCATTGAATCACCTCGTCTACATTGTATTGCAGATGAAAAGAATTGATTTCCATTAGTGACAACGTAATGAAATACCATCATCATTGAAAAATACAACATTAAACAATATAAATCAGTAAACCAAAGATTTATTGGGAACTATATACATTTATATGAGTATACTTCTATTAGAATGTGTGAGCTTTCAGCAATCCATACGTTAGTGTGCGTATATGTCATAGGTAAAATTGAGTTTTAAGTTAAAATAAATTTAGACAAATTTTGTTTTTAAGGGAGGTTTCGCGAGTCCATCGAGAATCATTGAAGAATGGTTAAAAAAAAATTTACTTTTTTTTTTTATTTCATTCGATTCATTGAAGAAAAGTAAGGTTGTGAAGATTTTTTTTAGATTTTTAGGATCTTTTTTCATGGAGTTATAGGCTTCACAACAAGAGAGGGTCTAAAAATCGCAACGAAAAACACGTTTTTCGATACATTCCAGTATTTCGCTTATAACTCCGTCATTTTTCATCCGATTTTTTTTGTGCAACATTTCATTCGAAAGAGCTCATCAAACTGAACAAAAAAGTCTCTTACGAGACTTCCAAAAAGTGAGGTCTTCATAGAGAAAAAAACGAGTTTTTTCGGACGCAGATTTTTTCATCGCAAGCCATTTTTCAAGGATGTCGAAGTCGAATAGGAAAATCTAGTATAGTGTATTTTGTAGAGAATTTCGCGCTCTACAAAATCCATATAAAAAATTTGAAAAAAAAACACCATGTCAGATCGTAATTTGAGAGACAAATGAGAGCAAAAAGTGTTATAAGTAAATAAAAAACATACAAAATTCGATTTTCAGCGAGAGAAAAACTCATCACTATCATTAAAGTACCTAGATATGCTACGCCTCAAAACTCAAACTAGAAATTTTTGTTTTCAGAAATCAGACAGCAATTGCAGGGGGAAAAAGGTTTGGTTTTTGCTAAAGGTTTCTTAACATTGTTCTATACAAAGCCACATTTTCTTTTGCTCAATGTTAATCGATACAATTTGAAAATTTTTAATATTTGAGAAAAATAAAATCCTATCGAAAATGGTGTTTAAATGTTTTTAAAAATAAAAAATAAAGGTTTTAAATTCAATAGCACAATATGAGAATCAACGATATTGTTTCGTTATTAAATTAGTTGACATTGATTTATTTATCCGAGATATATTCTGAAATTTATCCAATATTGTTAATAAATAATATCTTATTTTTTTATATATAAAAATAGAAGAGTAAACATTGAAACTAAAAGGAAAGAACGCATTAACACAATTGTGATTAAACATACTAGTGAAATTCACACATACACATACACACAAATATTTCTCTCTTTTTTCTTTAATCAACTGATTGAGAGCTGATTAATTATCAAAACTCTTCATCACTTTCAAATATTTGAGTTTTCAATAATTCTTCTCGTTTTTCCATTTCTTCTTTATATGTTTCTAAACTTGCTTCGATTGCTCGAGTAAAATCATCATCTTCAGTGACATTTGAACTATCTTCAGTCACACTTGATAGTGTTGATTGACTTCTTAAACGACGAGCTCGTTTTTTATTGCGGATATGTTTAACTAAACGATATGTTCCATAAGTTGGTGCTCCT